TGCGGTCCTACTTTTGGTTTTTATATCTACAGAAACCAGGTGATGTGGCTCTAAGATGCAGACTTGGGAGGCAACACACCCACCCACCAGAGGGTAGCATGTCTGGCTGGGTCTGTCTCCTCCGTGTGCCCCGGGGGGGTGTATGCTTGCTGCCAGGCTGCTCACAGATCTTAGGGGGTTGGTCCTACTCCCACTGTCTCCCGCTGTCCCCTGGTAAAGTGACTGTGACATTGGCTTTTGAGGCGTGTCCCCAAAAGGGCCATGTGTTCATTCAGGATGCGGCCAGATGGGGGCGCTCTGGTGGAAGAGTCCTTATGGTGATGGAAAGTTTTGGAAAACGCAGTGTGTGCACACTGGGCCAGAGGACAGAGCGGTTCCTGACAGTCACCCATCTGGGTGTTTATCATCAGAGTTTTGCTGAGGTAGAGTTCGAGGTCGACACCTGGGTCATGTTACGGTGTGGGTGTGTGTTTGTGTGTATATATGTGTCACTGTGTGCTTGACTGTGTGTGTGTGTGTGTGTATGTGAGAGAGAGAGAGTGTGGGTGTGTGTTTCCGTGTCTGTCCGTGTGAGTATCTGTGTGTCTTGGGCCTCATCTTCCCTTCCAATTAAAATGATCCCTTCTCCGGTTTCCAGCGATAAACAGGCCTGCGTGTCACTGGGTCCCACGTTCCCGGTTTATTTTCCGTAATCCCTTAAAGCCCCGGCTTTCTGCGCTGGATCATTCCAGGGAAGCGGGACAGCGCCACGGTCTTGTATCAGCCAGCGATGGTTTCAGACTCTCCAAATGAACGGGAGGCATGTTGCGGGGCTCGCAGTAGTGCATTCAGGCCAAGCGTCAGACCGGTGTTAAAGCAGAAGGACCAATCAAATGTCTTGTGTGAATCTGGGATATCAGGGGGAACTGAGATATAAAAGCCATCCATGGCAGAACACGTGTTTCACACGCGGGAGGATTGGCAAAAGCATTAATACCCATAATCCTTCAGGTCTACAGCAAACTGGTGATTGCACTCGGGGAATTCTGGGATTGGAAGACACTCCCCTTAACTGCTGGGTGCCCTTTTGTTCTGTCTGTGTTTTCGATGTGGCTCAGCCTCCCCGGTGAGTTTCAGGCGAGTGTGTTTTGAGTGTCACCGTGGGATTCGAACGCCTCCTTGTCCCGCTTTACACAGCCGAGTGGGGAGGGGGGGTGGGGGGGGCGCATAACGAATTCGGAGTTCCGTTTGTTTTCTCCTGACGCGTCCTGTGAGATTCCTGTTTATCAGATGCGTGTTTCGTGAATGCAGATGGAAGAGTGTTACTGTATTGTTACTGAGCCAAGCTGAGAGTGCATTTACCAGCTGGTTTGCTTACACTGTGTGTGTGGGTTAACAGGCTACACAGCATCCTGTAGGGCAGATATGCAAAGGTCAGGGTAGGTTAGCCTTGACCTTTGACCTTTGACCTATAGCTACCACCCCCCCCCCCCCCGCCAGTCACGCCAATGCAGCCTGCAAGCTCTGTCCATCCTTTGAAAAGTGACTTTTCACATACAAGCGGTTGCTGCTTTCGTCCTTCAGGCTGTGTGTGGAATGACTGCTAGGAACTGATAGATTACCAGAGGTAGAGAGAGCCGCCATGCGTCCAGGTGCCCTGCCGCTAATCAGGGGCGGGTTAATCAGTGTTTTTCCCGCGTGACAATGATGCGAGGCCCCTGACACTCGAGAAACCACAATTCCTGCATTCCGCTGCCTCTGCTCCCTTTCTGCTTCCAGTCCTGCTTCCCTGGCAAACTCAAAGTGATCAGGCTTCTATTAAATGGACCGGATCCGAAAGCCTGCCCCCTGCTGGAGACCATGGCTCGAGCCGTCCACCAGTCTGTTTGCGTCATCCAGTCGGTCTGCTTGGTTGAAGTCGTTTCAGAGCATTTGCTGGAATACTTGTGTGGTCTTTGGTGTTTATGCTGTAGTCCCTTCCTAAGTGTCTGAGGGGAAAAAAGGAAGGGGCGGGACTAAAAAGGAAGGGGCGGGACTAATACAGGAAGTCAGGAGCTCCTGCTTAATGCTGGCCTCGCTGCCGCAGTGGTCGGTTTATCTCCTGGTTACAGGCAGCTTTTTCCCCCCCCCTCGTTTTTGGAATCTGCGTTCCAGTCTGTGGGCTCAGCGCTGTCGACGCCTTGTGGGGACACAGGTAAGAGGAGCCACCAGCGGATGGGACTCCAGGGCAGGTCGATGTGGTCAGACACCCGATATCATCTTCAGAGGTGGACGGCTGTCCCGTGCTGACCTGCATCTGAAGGCCCTGTGTGATGCTGGCCGCTCGATTGCTGTTGTGTACATGTGGCCCTAGACTGGTTCATTTCCTCCGCGTCTGAGAGATTTGTTTGATACGGGCTCTGCGGCCTGGCAGGTTAGGATGCTGTGCCCGTGATCATGGGGTTGCTGGTTCAAATCCCAGCTTTGGCAGAGATCGTGGAGTTAGGCTGCTGAACAAGGTCCGTAACCCCTCAATCGCTCCAGGGACTGTCTGGTGCTGTTTTCTCTAAAGAGCATGCATCATGCCAGATGAGAGCGTATGCCAAATTAATGTAATGATTAAAACGTCCTGTGGGTAGATTGCTTGTTGTATTGAAAGGTTTAATTTGTTTTTGGTTTTTCTGAGTAGTTATTGTATTGTTTTTATTAAATATGAATGATTAATTTGATAAGTTTTGATATTTTAAATGAATGTAAATGAGTTTTTGTTTATTGATGGGGTAATGGATCAGTGGGTAGCGCTGGTGCCTCACGCCCCCACAGTTAAGGGTTCGAATCCTGTCTTGACTCTGTGTACGCCTATGTACGCCTGTGTACGCCTATGTACGCCTATGTACGCCTGTGTACGCCTATGTACGCCTGTGTACGCCTATGTACGCCTATGTACGCCTATGTACGCCTGCCACCCTGACTGAGGCAGGGTGACCAGATAATCCTTGTCAGGGAGGACACTCTGAGCTAGGACAGGAATTGTAAATTACCATTTCAATTAAACGGACCTGGATTTCCCTTGAGCACTGAGTTCTTGCTGTGTGCTGATTGGTCAGTCTCCTATAATCGTGCATGTGTCACTAATGCTAATGTGAAACAGCTGGACGAGTCTTTCAGTCGAGGAAACAAACCAGTCAAAGCACAAGAAGAGCTGAACTATTTAGCCGAGCACAGGAGCCTTTCGGTTTGAAGGTAGTTTATAAAACCCGAAGTAGCTCAAAGTGTCCTCCCTGACAGGGATTATCTGGTCACCCAAGACTGAGGTTTGCGGTTAAATGAGGAGTGGATGGATTTTTTGGTAACTTCTCAATTTAAAGGAGTATATAAATGATGGCTGATATCCCTCCTGGTCATAAAGGGGGTGTACTGTAGTACTGTGACATCCTGCCCCCCACCCGCGGCTGAAACACTCAGTACTTCTTCCAGACCTCCCAGTCTTCCCAGACTGTGTCCTGCTGTTTTCCCACGGGCTGATCTGTCTGGGGGGGGGGGGGCAGAAACGCCCCGCCTCCCATTTTCCAGTTGTCCCACAGCCGACCACAGGATGATGTCACTGCACAGCTGACCGCTGCGCCCAGCCCGTCGTTCAGGAAACGCAAACTGCTTTCAGCTTAATAGTCTCCGTAATTTGCTTGTTGCTCCCCTGCTGAAGTTTTCAAGACGTAGCCTAAAGCGGCTGGTTAATTAGCATAATATCAGTCTTTCAGGCTGAGAGACGGCTTCTTCTGCGCTGCGCTAAACCCCGGCCCATCAGTGAGTGGCCAGCAGGGGGCGAAGTGCTTGAGGAACTGGATGTATATTACAGTTTCTAGTCCAGTCTTGGGGAGGATCTGTACTGCTGTACTCTTGTGACCAGATATTAGTTACCGTCTGTTCAGGCTGTGTCAGGAGTGTGTGTGTGTGTATGTGTGTGTGTTCATTCGGAGACGTTTTTATCACTGACATATATTTCCAGCATCACTGCCCCAGCATAACAGACGGATTGGCAGCAATTAGACATGTGAGGAGATGATGTCCAACAGCACTAACCAGTAAACAACGTTATGGTGGTAAACCATTGGTGGCGGGCAGTGGGGGCTGAGATGACTCCTTTGGGGGGGGCCCCCATTTCAGCTTCGGCTCCCCAAGCAATCCCCTGTATCTCCTGATCTGCTGGATGCCACCCCCTGACCCCACCCACACACATGTCATTCTGGGGTTTCCCCTTGGGCAGACCCCTGTCCTGATTGGTCAATGAGAAAACTGCCCAGGCTGATGACGACGACAATGATGATGATGATGACGATGATCTTCCTGGAACTTCTGTCACGTGGGGCCTGTGGTCAGGGTGGGGCCTTTACCGTTAGACGCCGAGGACATTAGTGGTCAATATTGACTCTGCTTTGGAGTCATTTCAGGCTTTAATGCGTCTTCGTTCCTGCCTGCCAGCAGAGTTAATTGTGTTCTGAAAAATTAATGAGCTCTTTTTATTATTACTCGCGGTGTTGATGTTTTCTGAGCGCCTGACAAATAGCCGCCCGTCTTGAAGAGCGGAGCGAATGATTGCGACAGAGGAGTGGAGGGCCTCGTTTGTTTTGCCTCGTTTGCTCCTTACGCCAGGTCTTTTGCTCTCTGGGCTGTTGTGGGGGGGGGGCCCTGCCGCCGGCCCCCATTCTTCTGAGGGCCCCCCAAGGCCACTTTGCTCTCTGCCATCTCTGTCATCATCATTGGTTCTTGGTCGTATTTAGGCTTAAGCTGCAAGTTGGAGCCCCTTCAAACATCAGGGGCCCCACCTAGCAAACATCAGGGGCCCCACTTGGCAAACATCAGGGGCCCTGCCTCAGGAAAACTGTTAAATATATTAAATCTGACAGAACACTCCCTAGCTCCCCCCCGCAGCAATTTTTAAGCCTGGGGCCCCCAGAGAAGTCAATCGGCCCAAGGCCCCCCAGCCCCCCGCTCTGTCAGATTCCCCCCGATTTGCTCTCACCTCCTGCTCTCTCTCCTTCTAGATGGTCACAAGAACAAAGAAAATATTTGTGGGTGGATTATCGGCGAACACGGTGGTGGAGGACGTCAAGCAGTACTTCGAGCACTTTGGCAAGGTAAGGGGCGCTGGGGATTCCCTCTTTGGTGGGCGGGGGGGAGTTTTCCAATCCCCCCCCCCCCATTCCGGACCCTGTTTCCACTGCTGCACTTTGGGGCAGCCGATTTGCCTTCTTGGTTTCACCTCAGGCTGGCTCGGGGTGCCTGGGTCGCAGCGCCCTCTGGTGGTGTGTTCGGGCCTGAGCATGACGGTGGTTTGGACTGGCGGTTGGGCCCAATGCGCCGGGCAGCTTGCGCTCACTGCGTCGCTGGAACCGTCTGCGGCCGCATGGGGAATGACGTGCTCGCATTCGCGCGCTGGCTCCCGTCCCCGGCTCCCGCCGGGCTCCGCACGGCTCTGTCTTCACGAGGCTCGAGGGTCTGTGCCAGCGTCCGGCCCTCGCTGGGTGCTCCCCTCTATGACCCCTGGCCTCCGTGACCCTTGACCTCCAAGGGGAGGGCCACGGTGACGTAGCTTGATTTAGCCCCCCGCCGTGCAGCCACTCTTGCCTCGTCCCGCTCGGTAATTTCACGGACCTCTCTGGGACGCTGATGCTCGCTGACACCGTGGTGCCGCCCGGGCATAGAGGGTAACAGCCACCCGACCGCTGGCGAGTCCTTGTGCTGACGAGCGCCTAATTTGCATATCTAATTTGCATATCTCGTTTGAATGAGTAAATATGGACTGGCTCGTTCTGTCTGGGGTGGGACGGCCGGTCAGCGTTTTGGTTTGGTCCGCCGCTCCCTGTATCAGTCATTCTGCATTTCACAGTGGGGGGGGCACCCTCACCTCCCATGCCAGAGTGGGGGGGGGGGGGTTTGTTTCGTCTTACCCCCCCCCCCATGTCCATCTGTGTCGCTCTGTGTTGGTGTCGCTAAGTGGCCTGATAAAACCCCCCCCCCCCCCATTCTCAGGCTCTAAATCAGCTCATTGTAATAATGGATGAGGGGTGTCTCTTTTTATTGACATACTTATCAATCAGAGTGGCTCTGAAGCCACAGGCCTGGGGGGGCAGGATGCCCTTCCGCACACTTCCTGACTGTCAGTGAGACGGCGATGCTCGTCCTTGGAGATCAGGTCTGAGCTCCAGCCCTGAGACGCCGTCCTCATGTCAGGCGGGGAGCTGCGCCTCATGCAGCTGGGGCTTAGGGGCCTCGCTCAGGGGCCCAGTGGTGACCTGCCAATCAAAGGCACAGCGTTCTAGCCCCACTGAGCCACACGTCGCCACCAGTGATTTATATTTGGCGCATGTGCATGCGTAATGGTGGGCGGGGTCAGCCTTGCCATGGGTGGAGTCCGTCGGCCTTCTCCGGGCGCGATTGGGCCCCGCCTTCCCGGTGACATCGTCCGTCTGTTTGGCAGCCACCAGGAGTGGCCCCCCAGGGCCCATGGCGACAGTCTTTCCGCGTCCGCTCGGACGAGTCGACCGCGGCAGGCGTGGTGGCGCGGAGACACGCTGGGCTGGCGTCTGTCTGCGATTACGTAACGATTATGAGGCCGCGGGGGGGCTCAGGCCGCCCCCTTCGCCCCCGAGTGCCGCGCCGGCTGGCTCTCAGGTCGCGACACAGCGCTTAGCAACCTGATAGCAGTGGCATTACTGTCAGAGTAACCGTAATGGCGGCCATAACGTGCCCCCACGCTGCCCGTATGGCCGAGCCCCCACCCTCTGTCGGTGGGGTGGGGTTGGGTTGGCGGGGGGGGGGGGGGGGGGGGGGTTGGCGGGGGGGGGGGGGGGGGGGGGGGGGGGGGGGGGGGGGGGGGGGGGGGGGGGGGGGGGGGGGGGGGGGCAGTTGCTTCTCTCTTCCTCGATCAGCTTAATTCAATCCGTCATCCTCCGGAGCTTCTCCGCTCCTACAGAAAACCTGATTAAGTCCGTCGTGAACAATCAGATTGTACTGTTTATGTGCTCCCCCCCCCCCCCACCTCCCCCCCACCCTTATTACCTCAGGATGTTTCACACGCCGGCCCTCCCCAGGATTTAACCCCCTCGCCGCCTTGCTCTTCCATCCACGTAGAAGCTTCTTGGGTGCTGCTGTCCTCTAGGTGTGTCTGCACTCCTCGCCTATTCTGACCCAGCTGTGGGGAGAGTTGTGGGTGGGGGGGGGTGTTTGGTCAAAGGGCAAATGCATGGAGCTGGAATGTTCTCTGTCCAAGATCGGGTTGGCGGGCGGCCACTTCCCTAATATCTCTAGAGGGTCCTGCAGGTTTCACAGAGAATATTTAAATCATTACTGGAATAACTAGTACCCAGAACCCCTGGTGAGATTAATTAATAGCCCCGTAATGACAGAGCGGAGGGGGAGCAGGAAGGAGCCCAACCCCAGGTTGACCTCGGGGTCGTGTGACCCCCCCCCCCCCGTCCTGGAGGGGCAGTGTCCGCTTACACGGCCCGCTGCCTCACAGACCTGGGCTTTCGCTCTCTGCCGCGGCGCCCCCTGCTGTCCTGACCCGATTCTGCTCGCCGTCTCCCAGGTAGCGCCGTTGTCAAGGCACCAGTAATGGGCCTGAGGTCTAATCTCGACCCAGAGCTGTCCTTTCTATTTTTGGGTCCAGTCGGCGTCCTCTCGCTGGGTTTGCTGCCTGCAGTTCTAACCCTCCAGATGGTGGCCCAGCAAACATTCGCCAGGCCTGGATGGGGAGTCCTTGCTGTGCATCTCTCCGCCGCGGTCTCCCATTTCTGCTAAGCACCCTTGTGATGGATGCTTTCCCAGCTGCAAACAGCTGTATTTCACGTCGGTTGTGTTGCTGGACGGTCCTTTCTACCAACGGCATCAACCGTCGGCCGTGATGCCTAGGTGATGGACCACAGTGAGCTTCTTGTGAGCTGGACAATGGTACCGATTTCAGTTAAACGGCAGCTGGAATTGTGCTCCTGTCCTCCTAAGGCATTGATGATCCCCCCCCCATTGCCGTCCCGCTGTTGCCCTAATTCATCCAGTCAAGCTGAGGTCAGGCCTTCTCTGTAGCAGCCACCCAGTTCCCACCTCACTCTCCACAAAAACAAACAGCTGCTTAATTTCACCGCCAGGCTGCTCAGAGCCGGTCGATTCGATGTGGGGACGGAGTAGCCAGCAGCAGAGGCTTCCCACCAGCTCCTCATTCTCCTTTTTTGCTGCTGTTTTGTACCTCTGTGATGTTATGGTCTGGCAGTAGTGTAAAGACACTCTGCCCTCTGGTGCCTGGGAGGGGAATTGCTGCATCCTGATTTGGGGGTAATTTGGCATCACACTAATGGGCGCAGTGGGCTGTCTCGGGTCAGTGAAGATGCTGCCGTGGTAACAGTCACACAGCAGCCCTCCATCCCCTAATAAGCATCACATTAACCCCCTCCCCATCCTGCCAGACATATCTCTTGCGATGGGGTGTGTGGATGAGGCTTGAATATTTAATAAGGTGTGTTTATCCGGCCCCCAAACAGTGCCTTACATACAGACCCCCCCCCCCCCACTGAAAGGCTCTCCGTGGTTTATTAGAGTCTAATAAAAGAAAGTCTTTGAAGAGACAGCTGCGTTTGGCCCTCTCTCCCTCCCTCCCTCTCTCGCTTTCTCTCCCTCCCTCACTTGCTTGCTCTCTTTCCCTCTCTCTCTTCGAAATGAACCCCGCTGGCAGCTGCAGCCACGGGGAAACGGCGCCCCCCGCAGTCGGCCGCCTGGGCCTGTTGGCTTGTTTCTGTGCGAGGAACCTGCAGTCTCCTCTCTTCCTTTCTGCTCTCCTCTCCTTTTTCTCCTATCTCTCTCTCTTTCTCTTCTCTCCTCGTTTCTCTGTTCCGTTCTCTCCCCTCTTTCTCTCCTCTCCTTTTTCTCACTTCTCATTCTCTCTTCCTTTCTGTCCTCTCTCTCTGACTCTCTATCCTTTCCTCACTCCTCTCCCCCTTCCCCTTTTTCTCCCTCCTCTCTCTCCTCTTTCCTTTTTCTCACTCCTCTCCTCCTCTCCCTCCTCTCTCCTTTTTCTCCCTCCTCTCCCTCCTCTCTCCTTTTTCTCACTCCTCTCCTTCTCTCCTCCTCTCTCTCCTCTGTTCTTTTTCTCTCCTTCTCTCCTCTCCTTTTTCTCTCTCCTGTCCTTTTATCCTTCTCTCTCTTTCTCTCTCACCTCTGTCCTGCTCCCTGTTTCTCCCCCATAATCCCAGTGCTGTTCACACATATCGCAGACGCTCCCACCGTCATGATCTTAATAACGACAAAATAGTGATGATAATAATAACAGAATCAGAATCAGAATCAGAATCAGAATCAGAATAAGCTTTATTGCCAGGTATGTTGACACATACGAGGAATTACCCCAGAATTATGCCCTATCTAGGCGAGGTGGATGGATGGATGGATGGATTTTGGTACGGATAATAATGATTTGATTTCTGTCTTTCCAGCGCCGGCTACGCTTCACCTCCTTGCCTGGGGAAAGCGGTCACGTGACCACACACGCGTGTTACACGCCTGTTCCGGGCCGCAGCTCCGTTACTCAAAATGAAAATGCTGAAAATAAAAAGTGAAGGATGAGCAGGAAATGGCAGAGGGGAGGGCTGATTATTGCTGCCTGTTGTCCGGGAAGGACAGAAACGTAGATAGGAAAATTAATAGAGAATGGGGTGGGGGGGGGGGGGGCTCTGCATTGGCTTGGTACCTTTTATAGTAGCTGTAGGACCTTCTTATGCAGCTTCTTCAAAAATTTGTTCTGGAAGGGGGCATGCTCTGCAGGATTCCCATTCCCTCCAGCCGTCGACCCCTGCACTTCCGGCACCAGCCAGCAGGTGGGGCTGCGGTTAACGGCGACTGGGGGATGAACACCATTTAGATGGATCCCCAACTAGCCCCCGATTGGGTGTTCTGACTGTAAGGCACGTCAAGGCCCAATCACGCACCTATTCCAGGACCTGCTTAATCCCAGCGCCAAGCAACGTTGTCATGTTTTAATTCACAGCTCTTGCAGATCTTTGAGAATCAAGTAACTGTGTGTAAAACCATCCACTGATCCTCTAGTTAATCCAAGAGCCCACGGTCCTGGGGGTGACAGAAACAGAAG